TGAGCCCACTCCTTAACTTCCAAGAAGGAGGAGAGCTCGGCGTTAGCCGGGCGATCCGACTGGTAATAAATAATGGAGAACACCAGTTTTCTACGTCTAACCCATTCCCACTGATCTGTCGTCGCGCGCGGCCGCTATCTCGCCTGTCTCCTATGCCACCGAAGAAATGTAGTGGATGCAACGGTTGCAAGGATGCTGTTATTCCCCCTGGCTGGAATCTGTACTCAAACGCTGGGATGGTTACTTTACCAGGTCTGATCGCATGTTTGGTTTATTAACTTCTATGCATCAGCGTTACTTCACAGGGCCATAGTGGAAGACTGACGCCATTGAAAACGCTTATTCGATCAAGTGGGTGTAGTGAAGCTAATAATCTGTATACTACTTACAGAGCTGTATACTACTTTAGTTAAGTTTCATTCCGATCCCAAAGACATGCCAGTAAGAAGTGTAACATTGCCTGGGTCGGCATCGAGGAACAATGTGATGAGAGGGCTACATCGGATTTCGACAGAGAAGCGCTCAATGAGCTCATCGATGCTTCTTGTGATGGCGAGCTGCTGAGCCAGTGGAAAGCAGGTAAGATTAAAATAGCGCGCTTCCCACCTATCGTAGTGCCACTGTGAGGAAACCGAGAATAACCAAGATCTGCCTTCACAATAGCTTAGCGACCGTCTTTTGACTTTTATGAAAAAAGGGCGCCTCTCACTGACGTAAAAATTTCGTCATTTTTACGCGAGACGAGATTACACTGAAGAAGAATTGCATTATGGCAGACAGCTTCAAAAAGGGCAGGTCAGCTCAATGCAAATGAGGGTAAACTCCTTTATGTTGTGCGAGATCTTGCAATCCATAAGGCTCAGAACCCCTCGTGACCTGCAACGCTCCGTTGTCGTTCCAGTTCCACTGAGAAGCCCCCTGCTCCCTCCCCTGACTCTGGTTCAGTCAAACCTTCAACCTGTAGCCGATCGATCACCTATGACGTCACCCTTGGCCCCTTCGCGAGATGACGCTTGGCGGGAACCAATCAAAGCTCCTAGTGTGGTGTCGATCGATAAAGCTACCCGGGTAGGTGCCTTGCACGAACCGGCCAATCAGCCTAAGGGGAACTGAAACAATAAAAACAAACAAAGAAACAAAAAGAAGCTCACCAGAGAATGGAGTTGGCCTTATCCCGACCTAAAAAGAAGTGAAACCTCCTTACCTCATATTCCAGATCCGCTTATGTGCAGAAAGTCCTAATTTATTAATTAGTAGCCATTATCAAAAGAAGGTACAAGTTGAAGCTCCTTATCTATCAAGCGAGCGATTCATAATAGCTTTGGGGATTTTCTTGGGTATGTACATGAGTTCACTTTTAGGCAGCCTCCATACTTCATACACAGCGGCGACCTCGGCGATCGCCGCTGTCGCGAAGTATGAAGGCTGCCTAAAACGATTTAAGAAAATACTTCGCTTAAGGGCTAAAGTAAACCACATTCACGCCAATGTGAATCGCTACGGTTTTCTTAAATATGCTAAATACGCCCAGAAGCTTGAACGTACAGTCGTCATCCTTGCACTTGATAGGGGCGTGTCGGCGAGAAGGAGCGTGCACACTGCTTTTCGTTGAAACGCGTATGCGACAAAAAGTGATAGAAAACGAGTAACACGAAGGATATAATACAGTAATGTCACTTCCTGGTTCAACGATTGGTGCAGTACGGGTGCGGGCGACCGCGCCGCACGCACTGACATTGACTATCAAGTGCAAGGATGACGACTGTATGGTCATTCGTTTGGCTATTATTGAAGAAGAAAAACTCGCCAAGCAGAGAAACCTTCATCGTTTTTTCAGATATTGCAATAGTAAACTCAACTTGTCCGATGAAATCCCTGAGCTCATTCTCAGTGGGAATAACCGTTGCTCGTGAAGATTGTGAGAGAGTCGAAGCGTTTGCTGAGTACTTCCGCGCTGTTTGTAAGAGAATCAAATACTACCTATCCTACTTCACTTCCCACCCACAAATTAGTCTGAGTGGATTTCTCCACGGAGTCAGTCTAAGGTGTTTGTCAGCTGCCGAACAGATATTCCACATCTCCCGATAATATTTCTTACGTGTTTCTCAAACGTGCTGCTCTGGGCTTGGCTAAACCACTCACTCTCCTCTTTAGTAAGTTCTTGTTGTTAGGTAGATTGTCCTGATATTTGGAAAACGGGGCTAGTCAAACCGGTCCACAAAAAAGGTTCCCGCAATGTGGTACACAACTATCGACCCATCTGTTTAACTTCTGGTATCAGTGAAGTTATGGAAAGAATAATTTGTTCTAGTATCCTCACCTTTGTGTTAGAAAATAACATCCTTAACTCTGCGCAGCACGGGTTCCTCAGCAAACGTTCTACGACAACTGCCCTGCTCTCCTTCCGCGGTGGCATAGGGAGTTGGACCGAAGGTATTATGTGTCGTGTGCTTTGTTGATTTCAGAAAGCATTCTGATTCGATCCCTATCTCGCTGCTTCTCAAAAAGTCGGAAGGCGTAGGCATAACTGGCTGCCTTCCTCCGTTTTATTAGCTCGTTTTTGAGCAATAGAACGCAGTCGGTAGTCATAAATGAATAAGCGTTCCCATTGTATACCCTACTTCTTGCATTGGGCCTCTAATATTTCTAATATACCTTAACGATCTCCCCAAGGCTTTCCCTCCTGGCGTTCACATTTCCCTGCATGCCGCTGATTCTAAAATTTTTACTATAAACAATGCTAGCTTACTGCAAGATGGGATTGATGCTTGGCACTTGGGCTGCCAGGTGAGAACTTGGGATCTCTGAGGAGAAGACAGGTAATGTGCTTAGGGATAAACCACCCAGACGTTGCTTTCAGTTTGAATGATTCCCCTCTTACAAGGGAACCCCAACAGGTCGATCCGGCCATTTGCAATGAGATGTACATATATGGACGTGTCTTGAGCCGCTGAATCCAAATCTGCCCTCCTTTGCGGAACGATTCTCTGAAGAGAGTTACGGACCATTTAATCTTTGCTCTGTTGTACAAGTTGAGAAGGATAGTTGCTTGCGGCAAGCGGCGATGGCCCAGTGGATAAGCGCAGCGCTTCAGAGACACGATTTCGCATGTTGGAATCCTTGACTCTTGGAATATTTTTGCTTTTGTTCAAAGCACTTCATATCAGTCCCCAGAACACTTCTGTTTGGCCAATTCACCTAATCTCTGATTATTTAACAATAGAAGCGGCCATTGCTATATTTGTGGTTCCTTCTGAAAACTTTTATTATGAGGATGACCGTTTCTAGAGCTCGCATCGAGTAATGGGAATCTTATGGTTCAAGAGCACATGTGGTATTCTTCCACAAAATGACAGAAACAAAACAAGTTCTCAAAATTAGCACAGCAAATGAAAAGTACTCTGCACACACGGTACAGTTACAGTTCTCCAAAAATCCAGGGGGAAGCAGTACTGAAGAGGTGTTTCGAACTCACCAGGATGTACATCGAAGTATCCAGTCGAGTACCGAGAAGAAATTTTTAAATTTATGTGAGCTGGCCGCTCCAGGGTCCCCCCAGTTGGCGTTTCTCATAGTCGGCGCGTGGGGTTCCTCTAAAGATCATGAATCTGTTCTGCCACCCAATAAATGTGTGAAACTACGCAATATTCCACCAGGTGCTACGTCTTTGATTCTACCTTCAGACGTGTACTTCTTCTCACCGTTTAAAGCTATGTACGAACGCTTCACTTCTTATGTATTGGCCTTGATATAATTTTTTTCTATTCATCAGAGGGACTCCATTTTCCGTGTATTATCTCTTATATATTCTCAATTTTGCTCACCTTGATTTGAAAACTTCTTATCTATTCTTGGTACTCGGCTGGATACTTCGATGTACATCCTGGTGGGTTCGAAACACCTCTTCAGTACTGCTTCCCCTCCGGATTTTTGGAGAACTGTAATGTACCGTGCAGAGTACTTTTCATTTGCTCCGCTCATTTTAAGAACTCGTATTGTTTCTATCATTTTGTGGAAGTATACCACATGTGCTCTTATACCGTAAAATCTCCATTCCTCTATGCGAGCTCTAGAAACGGTCATCCACATAATAAAAGTTTTCGGAAGGAACCACAAATGGAGCAATGGCCGCTCCTATTGTCAAATAATCAGAGATTAGGTGAATTGGCCAAACAGAAGTGTTCTGGGGACTGATATGAAGTGCTTTGAACAAAAGCAAAAATATTTCAAGAGTCAAGGATTCCAACATGCGACCTCGTGTCTCTGAAGCACTGCGCTTCTCCACTAGGCCATCGCCGCTTGCTGCAGGCAACTATCCTTCTCAACTTGTACAACAGAGCAAAGGTTAAATGGTCCGTAACTCTCTTCAGAGAATCGTTCCGCAAAAAAGGAGGGCAGATTTGAATTCAGCGGCTCAAGGCACGCCCATGTATGTACATCTCATGCAAATGGCCGGATCGACCTGTTGGAGTTCCCTTGTTAGACATTCCGCTTATAATCGCGATCTTGGGGTTAGTTAATGATGCTAATATAGATTTTGAGCACTTTATAACTGAAATCGTTACCAAAGCAAGCCACCAGATCAAATTACATCTTGCGAGCCTTCCACTCACGTAACCCTGTGTTGCTCTTCAGACTGTTTACGATTTACGTAAGGCCCATGCTTGAAAATTGCTCTCAGTTGTGGTCACCATATGAAGCATATCTAATTGATAGAGTGGAAGAGGTACAGAAATGGTCTACAGAATTTTTGCGGAGAAGCACGTAGGATCTCGTATGAGCAACGGCTTGCTTCTTTTGGCGCGTTATCTCTGGAGAACAGGAGGAAGATTGCTGACTTGGGTTTCTTGTACAAGATAATCTTTAATGAGGTTGACTTGGCCGTTGAATGATCTATTCCGTGTTTCTCCATTCAATAATATTACTATGGGCCACCCGTACCGACTATGCTTAGTTGGCTCTAGCACAGCATCTCTCAGAGGTTCGTTTTCTTACCGTGTAATTGTTCCCTGGAACAACCTCAGCAATGACCTCTTCAAATTCAGGAAAGCCAGTTCGTTCAAAATTGCGTCGGCGAAAGTGTTGCAAAATCGATCGTATGGTGTTTGTTGATCAGCCGGAATAGTTTTTTTTATTCCCACGTATTCGCTGAATAGGTACCAAGATCCACTGCCTTTTTGGTGTATTTTACTAATTTCTGCAAAGGCCATGAGTCTCTCAATTAACCGGTTGTTTTTATTATTTTTTTTGTCAGTGCATCATGCTGGCATTTCATGGTTTGATCTCAATTTTGGCTAATTTCTTTATCGTTTTCCGAGTTCTATTGTGTCGGGAGCACGCTAATTACTGTTGCATGGTCCCGCGACTCCTCATTTCTTCCTCTAAGTCGTTTCTCGCTCCTTATGATGCTACCTTTACCCCGTTTGATCAGATAATGAGCCTGAAGCTGGGTTGTTAGGGTTAGGACCTAACATCCCAAAACCGCAGCTTCAGGTATACAGGCGTGCCCTGGTGCCCCTGTATGTGGTGTTATCCCTAGCACCATCCACTTGTTTGGATTTTCGGTTACCATGCTCCTCATGTATCGAGGGCCAGGCTTCACTTGTTGTCTCACTATGCATAGATCGCGACCATAGCAAGCGGATTTTGCGTGTGCCTTAGCCACATTAGGGTCATTAAGTGTTGTTCTCATACGGATGGGTTAATAGGTTCCTGATCTAGCAATGTTCTCCATTATGTTCTCAGTTTTTTCTAGCTTTCCTAGATGCCAGTTAAGATGTTTGGCTGTTTTGTTCTTCCAACGGCGCCCTTTCTGTTGACTATCATAAATGCTTACTAACAAGGGAAGGATGGTAGGTCGAAGTGGCCATTCTGAAAAGGATGTATACCGACTGAAAGGTCTTCTGGACGGGGATTACGAAACCGTCTTCCATATCTGCTGCGGACCTCCAGAACAAAGTTACGGGGCCTTTTTAAGGGGAGGCATAGTGGCATTAAATACGAACAACGGCGTGAGGCTTCCGCTCGAAGCGGCGTACCCGAGTGGATACGTTGCAGGTCTCGCGGTTGTCGAGGGTTTGGATCCTTGATGCGTTTTCTGTTTTGCATTTTTTCTACAATGGTCTCTGTGCATTGAAAAGCATTTTTGCATAACTCTTGTGCTCGAGAATGCCGCCAAAGAGTGTTTCTGAACGAATGGAGCCATTGTGGACGATTCCATGCTGAACATTCTTGGCTGTTGAATGTGTCACAGATTCTAGCTGGTGCGAAAGCACCATTGAGATAGAACATCTCTCAACACTCCCATTGTGATTTCCGCAAGATTGCCACGTCAAAGCCAGGTCGTGGGAAAGCCTTTTCAATGATACTCATCTTTAGGCTGAGTTCATACCGTGCGACGGCGTCGTCAACGTCGACGTAACCGACGAAAGCGACGTAACCGACGTTTTCGACGACTAGTTCGCGAAGATTATATACGTATCGATCCGACGTAACGGACGAAACCGACGTAAGCGACGTAACCGACGACAGAAGATTAGATACGTATCGACTGACGTCGAAAACGTCGGTTACGTCACTTACGTCGGTTACGTCGCTTACGTCGGTTTCGTCCGTTACGTCGGATCGATACGTATATAATCTTCGCGAACTAGTCGTCGAAAACGTCGGTTACGTCGACGTTGACGACTACGTCGCACGGTATGAACGCAGCCTTACGCACAACTTCGTGATCGGATCCAGCCATGTCGTTCGGAGGATAAAGTCATTCATCAAGGCAAACACATTCGCTGAAGTGCATTCCTTTTGGAAGGAAGTCCTTAAAGCAATGAAGAAGAAATCAAGTAATCAGAAATCCAAGAATGGGCACTATTTACCCTACTGCCCAATCATCGGAAATCTGGCCAGTTTTGACCGACTTTTTTCCGTGGGCAGAATTGGTCAAACATTCGTACCCTGGGGTAGTTTGAGCTCCTGAATACGAATATCACATTCGCTCGACCCGAAACCTAATGGCGCTCGCGCCACAGGCGCCGGCGCCAAAATACCCCAAATCACCGGCGCCTGTACCGCGGGCGCCGAGAGATTTTTGGCCAAGCGGATGTGTTATTCGTATTCAGGAGGTTAAACTACCCCAGAACACATAAAGTACCCCAGAACACAACATTCGAGCCAGATCTGTCCACGAAGAAAAAACTCGGTCAAAAACTGGCTCGACTCCGGATGATTGGGGCAGTATAGGGTAAATAGTTGCCCAAGGAATGTTCGGCATGGAATCGTCCACAATGGCTCCATTCGTTCAGAAACACTCTTTGGCGGCATTCTCGAGCACAGAGTTATGCAAAAATGCTTTTCAATGCACAGAGACCATTGTAGAAAAAATGCAAAACAGAAAACGCATCAAGGATCCAAACCCTCGACAATGTGACCGCGAGACCTGCAACGTATCCACTCGGCCACGCCGCTTCGAGCGGTGAAGCCTCACGCCGCTAATTCGTATTGAATGCCACTATGCTCCCCCTAAAAAGGCCCGTAACTTTGTTCTAAGAGGTCCGCAGCAGATATGGAAGACGGTTTCGTAATCCCCGTCCGGAGACCTTTCAGTCGGTATACATCTCATTTCAAATGGACCACTTCGACCTACCATCCTTCCCCTTGTGAGTTTAGGTTGCTTCAATTAGTTGATGATGCGGTCGACTAACAGCGTCGCGGCGGCAAAAATTGTCAGTCGATAACAGCTCAGACCATGGTCATCTCTGCTAAACCATTCATATGTCGGGCAGGAGAGAACGCATAGTCGCGATGTCTCGAAGCCCTCACCAACTACAGTAGCGTCGAATTTGTACAGTCATGATTCCTAAAAACGACAGGGCGTGTAACGCGGCGCAAATTGCAGCGCATGCCGAGGCGCCCTTTTTCACAAAGGATGCCCACTAGGCCCGGTTCAGCTTATGGAAAATCTGATCTTACTCGCTCCAAGCCATGCCCTCACACGTCCTGTCGTTTGTTGGGATCACGTCTGTAAGTACGATTGTTTTGCAGAGTGGTGAGCCACTGCTCCGAGGAATTTGCCACTCACACTGGAAGCTACATCAGGGTTCGTTTCAAGACATTCCAGTCGTGTCACCGCGCCGAACTAGCAAAATACTACCTACCTACAGTCATTTACGTCAGTCGGGGCGTGTCTGCGGAGCACTGTTATTAGCACTAAGTCAGCTCTCTTCCATCGATCGCTGCGACTTCGGGCACCCGATGACTGATGAGAAAGGGGCTGGGGCCGCATCAAATTTCATGATACGCAGATACCCGACAGACTCCACTGATAACGACTGTGATTGAATTCAATCTTTGCAATGATGCCACTGTGAATAAATTCAATTTCTGAGCGAGCCTCCCACTTATTATAAAACCATCTACAAGACTATGACGACGTTACAGTGTAAAACAGGAGTCCAACTTACTTATTTCTTCGCGCACCCCAGAACGACAAATAGCCGACTCGAACATAATCGTTGCTCTCATTCATTGCTATTACTCCAATCAGCCTATTCAAATACCTGAAGAAAAAAGTTTCTGTTATTATTTTTTCTTTATTCCTGACAACAATGCATAGGATCAACCCTGTAGGGCCCTTCACTAATAATGGATGTAACTTTGGCGAACCTGCTGAATACTGCAAGGAGAATAGGTGCCAAAACAGCGAGAGCAGCCGTTGTGTAGAACCATGACACATCGACATGTCCAAGGAGGTACTGATACGAGGAGTAAGGCAAATACAACACTGTGACGACCGTCTGGATTAGTTTGGCTCTGGCAAGGATCACAGCAAATCGTATTCGTGGATAACGATACACTGCCACCCTAGACTGAGCGCATTGCAGAAGGTACTGTAGCCTATTTGTACTGCAGCAGTTAAAGGTCCAAGTGGAAAATAAACTTACTGAAAAAAAAGGATTTCGAAACTAACCAGTTTTCATTTTCAAGAGATTCTTGAAGAAGTTTCGCTTCGCGCTCCACCTGCGTATGCGTTCTGCGTATACAATTTCCACCGATCCGGTTTAAGACCTGAATGTGTGGCTTGAGACGGGTGAATATTTTGTTTGACAACTACTTTTCATTTTCTCTCTTACTAGCGGACGCAACAGAGATCTGGGCTCCGCTTGGGCAGGATGAGCATTTGATCGCCTCACTAGCAGATTGAATGCCTGTGCATCCTTTCCAATGCACTTTTTTCCAATCCTGTTTCACCCATTTTCAAAATGAATCGTACTGAAGATAGAATGCTCGACGTTGATCAATCGGTCTTTGAGATGCGGCACGCATTCAACTTCCATTTAGAATCGTGATGATATTATGAATGCGATCTGGGGATATGCACAGGGACTAGCCAGCATTCTTATCCTCGCAAACAAATCTGGTAGCAGTCAATCTTTCCTGGAAACTAAGAGACTTGGTCGGCCAGAGGGGAGCCAACCTAAAATTTGATCTCCAGATGGCGCACGTATGAGCAGCCATTTGCACCACCTCCGCCACACAGTACGTAATGCAACAGTCATATACATTATGACGAAAAAACTATAGAAGCGCTTACCTCTTCTCTTTCAAATGGGTTTGTATTAGTCTCTCGAAGAACACGTTTCCTAGCACGGACATTTTGATAGGACGTAAACGTAGCGGACGTTCGGACTACCTGAAATTTAGAATCCTGTAGGACTTGGAACTAAGCAGACGCAAAAGGACTGTAAGAATACTCTCAAGCTTAGAACTAAACAAACGCAAAAAGAAATGTGACGAACACTTATAACGTATGGTTATGCCGCCTTTTTATCTACTTCCATACGGGACTTCCGACATTTACATCGGACTTACTCATGAAGCACCTCAGGACATACACATGGGACTCTGATCTGAACGCTTAATCTCTAAGCCCTCCAGAATCCATCAAAGTGAAAGCCGTAGGACCTCAAAGCGCTTAATGATTACTTCAAATGGCCGCACCACGTCGTGAAGTAAGTCAGTCATGAAGCAAGTCGTCAACTATATCGAGGTTGTAGACGGCTGGGCGGCTTCCATTTTCTACCGTCAGCGCAACAATTTCCTCGAATCTGTAGTGAGTGAAGAAAATCTAGAAACTACGAATCTGCTTCAGGTTGGCATGACTATTGTAGGCGTTCTTCAGTCTACAGCAGTGATGGATAATTTCAGCTCCTCGCGTCGCATGAAACGTTGTTTGTGGGCCCCGCTGCTTGTAGGGTAACATTTTAAGTGCATTTCTTTTGGTGAAACTTCGGTGGTACAATGACTTTTTCATTTTGGCCTGTGTGTAATCATCTACAAGGGAACTGATGAGTGCACCAGATGGGCTAGGAAAAAAACCTCGAAGGCGAAACCCGGCTTACAGGAACATCATTCCTCTGAAGAGTTAATCCTACAAGTGATCAACAGTAAACCTGATCAACTCTCTAAGAACTCAGCGAGATAGTTTTACAAGGGCCCTACCAGGCTTTAGAGCAAGTTTTACAAGGGCCCTACCAGGCTTTAGAGCACCAAACAAGTCTGAACCCTTAGACAGCGCTGATGGGCTGTTTTGTGGGCGACTGTAGCTGACACACTCCCTTCCAGTCGCAGAAACTGGAGGGTTGAGAAACACAATCCCTATTTCTCATCCATCTATTAAGCATATGAAGTGGGTAACCCACAGATCAAGACATCCGACGAAAAAGTGCGGCTCACTGTAGGTCGCCTTTTTTTCCAGCCATATCTCTTACCTGAGCAGGTCCTGCTCTACGAGCGGCGTTGTCTAGCAGCACCTTTCCGATCAAAATTCCTATCGGACGCAATACCATTCCACCTATTCAGTGAATCGTATCATCAACGCTCTTACGGCCAAACTGTTAAAAAGATACGCTTGAATGCTGTGGTAAAACCTCTGTGGCTAAAATTACTTGCAAAGTTTGAAGTTTGTTATTTTGGTAAGGCAACAAAACGAAACAAAACAATTTACACAATTTTTGCAAAGGCGGACACCCAAGTGCTACGAACTCCAGGGCTTGTTCAATAGAAAATAGAATGTATTAAGCTAGAAAAAGAGTGTATCACACTTTAATTCACTAATAAACTGCGATAAATTCGAAAAATTAACAGAACATCTAGATTATGTACAAAACAAGAACGACACAAGGAATGAACGATTAACACATGGCAGCGTGTACTGCAGGTAGTCCATTAGGCAGCGTTCAGACTTCGCAATGACGCGCGTTACACCACGTTACAGCGCGTCATCGCGAAGTCTGAACGTCGCCTGATGGGTATATTCAGCTCTCGTTACAATACTATAGGAAACCGCGTTCCGTGTTTGGAAACAGGCTTTCTTCAGAACATGTGAGAAATTCTACTAGATCGTACGAGACAGAGCAGACAGAAAAATGGACTGCGCATGTATGTCACGCTGTCAGCAATGTGTTAAAAAAAGAGCGTCTTAGAACACAGCTAATCGGGGAGGCAAAGAGGCATGCACATGATGAGCAAAAAAAAACAATTCAACATAGATACAACAAGATCTTTTGACTATCGGAAAGCATTGGACTAGTAATTTTCGTCCCACTCAATGTAAGTGATCCCAAAAAAAGGAGAGGATAAATGCCTTTGGCAACAAGGGCACAACTATGAAGGTTCGTAGTTTTCGATAGCTCGCAAACAAACAACAAACTTTGAAGTCGGAAAATTTCACTTATATTCGAGATTACGAGTGAAAACTAAAAGAAGTTTCTTATGAATCGAGATAATATCCGGACGACAGTTGGTATATAATGGTCAACTCTTCTGAGAGCGGTTGCGTCGAGCACCGAAGCGTATTCGAAAAGTCTTGTTCGCTCCTGAAAAAGAGGAATCTCTGAGTTTTTAGTAAAGATGAATTGTTCAGCAACCTACTTCTTTTAGTTGGCTACGCAATCGTTCATTCGATGTCACAAGCAAGACTTGAGCCTCTAGATCACGGTGCACTGAGCGGTATCCTATAACAAGAAAGCCAAAATAACACCTCTCTTGAACAAATGGCGGTCTCGGAATAGCGTTCTTTCGAAACGTTATATTTAGAAAGAAATTGCACGCTCTCCTCCGTGAATCTTGCTCTCTGACGTGTATGGGGAAAACTGGTCCGCCGCTACAACAGCATGTCACTTTTCTCGAAATGCTAGACGGCAACGAGGCCAGAATGTAGTTACTGAGCACCCACCCCCGCCTCCCCCATTCCGCCTGCGCTGCCACACGCCACTTACAATGCAACCACAGCAAAACCTGCTCGTCTGCGTCCCTCATTTCCTGTATTCCCTACCGCTGACTGTGTGCTCGCTGCGGGATCCTGGTATCAATGCAAGTGCTGCACCTGGAGGGAAGCGCTAGCGGAGTCGGGAGACCGCACACTGGTCCCACTACACTATAGCTCTGTTCGCGCGCTTTTTCGAGCGCAGAAAGACGCGTGCTACTGCAGCTGCGGATCCATTCACGTCGCCCATGGAAAGGGCCGTCTTCGAAGGTGAGCGCACAGTATGTCTATTGAAGCTGCTAGTCAAGGATGCAGATTCTCTACTCAAGGCACAAAGACAATTCACTGTTTAGGAAACCGATCTCCTCACCACCACGTCCTACTAAAGAACTACAAAAAATAAGTATATCAGACTGGACGACAAGTTCTGCTCGGTACAGAACAAAATTTCAGATCATCAATCCCTTAGAGAGCAAATTCTTCCATTACCCAAGGAAAATCATCCCTGCTTGCTTCAAAAAAAAACACATTTATACTCTAGTTTGCTGCGGATGAAGGGGCGTGTCAGGCAGTATGAGTGTGCCTCGGCGCCAAACCCCTTCTCTTTACTTCATTATTAGTGGCAATGAACTGACATCGAAAACAAAGATATAGTCAAAGAGAGGAAACACAAATTTTCCGATAACCACATCAAGAAAAGGGGGGGGGATGGTTAGGGTACGACAGGGATGACCGGATTCTCTGCAGCTGAGAAGGACAGTGGCCGCTCAACATTGTAAGTTCAACAGCGAGCATCATTTGATCCTGGATACCATCTTAGTAGGTCTGCCAATCTCATGCGGTACGGCTCAGATTATCGCTCCAGCAGGGAAGGGGGAGATAGGGAGATAACACACAAAAAAGAAAGGGAGATAACACACAAAAAAGAACCAAACTAATACCTAGGCTGAACAAGCCAAGACAAAAAAAGCGCTCAAGCTCAGATGAGAGGATACGATAAAACGGATAGACAACAACCGAGGGAGAGACGAGCTTCGTTGCCTGTTGCTGAAGCAGGTATGCGACAAACACCGGTAGAAAGCGAATGATACGAACGATATGATCTGACCAGCCAATTGCTCGCTTCAACAACTGGTGGAGAACGGTTTTGGCACCGCGCCAAACACATCCCACCTGACAACCCCCTTCGTCCGCATCGAACAAACTATGGTTCTGCAGAACTCTTCAAGTCTAGAGTGTTATTTCAGAGCCCTGGAGAAAGAAACTGCTATGTTGGATAGCGCAGCATCCCCAACTGGACTTCAACCTATAGTCATTTCCATATTAACAAAAGACAACTGACTGCGTGCGACTCAAAGACAAAAATGGCACAATCGATTGCGTAACGTACCAAAGTTTGAAGAACCAACGAGGGTTGCTGTAACCGTGGGCGTCTCTACCCATATGCCTTTGGCATGAAAAGTCCATCCATCTCGATAATATTCGTACAGATTAACTGCATTTCTTCCATATTTTTCCCTCAGTTGTAAAACACTAGCTGCTACCCATGAATACATCGATGGAACATAGCCAGAAACGCCTGCTGCACCAAAGAAGCCGTTAGCCTGTGAACTAAAACCTATTTCGTTCTTCATAAAAAGAGAGAGGACGGTTTGAATTCCGTCCGAAATGAGATCTGATCTGACGAAGTTCAGAAGCTCACCTTGGGAGCAGCTGTAATGATATCCATGGGATATTCACCTTCTGAAAATATCAACCGCTCATAGTCTTCTATGCAGTTGAAATAACCAGACGCCATAGTTACGGACATACTGGAATCCTGAAAGAATTTATACTCAGAGGGAGGAGAAGGAAAACTAACTTATTTCACAGGCAATAGACCACCTTTGACGAGAAAAGCTTTTTTAGAAGCTCATATTCCTCATGATATCCGAAAAGACCCATCTGCAGTAGTGGATACAAGACGGTATCTTCATTTGGACTTGATGATGAGGGTCCCTTACTTGTTATTGAAGCAACAACTTTGTCAACTCGTGATTTTAACATAGCGTGAAAATCGTTAAAGGACCCTGCAAGAGATGTTGTGAAGAGAAATGTTGTGAAGAGAAGAGATAATTTTGAAGCCGACAAAAAGGAACTAATTTCCTACTGAATTGTTGTAATCAATTGACCTTCATAAGGATGCACCAGGCAATTGGGATGCAGTTTCATAGAACCGTCGCTATTGAGTAAAAATGAGCATTCGCCAACTGCAGTGACGAGATTATGAAAAAAATCAGCCAGCTCCTTGTTGTTCTCGAACACAATATATCGATCTTGCCGATTGACGAAGTACTGGTCTGATAGATTAGCCCTGAAAATCGAATTCAGCCAACAAAGTAATGAGAAATGTCGATATTATTTGCTCTCTGTCGCGTCGCTTCGACATTTACGCCCATTTCTACTGAGAATTCCCCCGGGGGTGAATTCGGCCGAAACTGTTCACTCGGTAGTCTGGCCCTGAATACGATTATCACACCCGCTTGGGGCGAAAATCCCTTACACTAGCGTCAGTGAGCTGGTCAATTTTGGCTCCGATGCATGCACTTTGACTAAAACTATATTTGCGTTCAGAGGAACGAACGACCCCTTGCTGCGAGTTATCAGTAAACCAGCCGGCTTCGCCGGCTGACACCGGCGCGCCTCCTTCTGAGATACAGCACGGCTTCGTCGAGCAGGCGCGGCTCCGCCGCGCTTGCCTTATTCCACTCATTTCATTAGCCACCTAATATCAGGCTTTTCTTTAACCTGAACAGGTGGTCAACATTCCTTGACCAATAGCATCATACCTGCTACTTTCAACACTATTACAGTGAATGGAGTGGTGGCACGGAGCGTTGATGAAGTGGGCAGATGAGAGAAAAGCCGGGTATTAGTCGAGCATTTGATCATACGAATGCAGGTAAGCGCGACGCCCCGCAAAGCCGGGCCGTATCACATAGAGGTCTGGAGTGCCTGGAGTGCTCTGGAACCGCTTGAGGAGTTTTTAAGGCTGGTCCCGCTCACCTTGACGCACGCTCCACACACGACAGGTATGCCTGACACTTGTGAACCGGTGACCCCTCGCTGATCTTAAACTACTTCTTCCCAGTGTCTGGAGTGCTCTGGAAGCGTTTTGCGAATTTTTTAAGTTTGGCTCCACCCACCTTGGGGCACGCCCCGCCCACAACGAATGCCTCGCGCTTCTCAACTAATACCCTCGCTGATCTCAAACTACTTTTCCCCAGTGTCTGGAGTGCTCTGAGAACGTTTTGCGAATTTTTTAAGTTTGGCTCCAGAATGCCTCGCGCTTCTCAACCGATGACCCCTCGATGACCTTAAACTACTTTTTCCCGGTGTCTAGAGTGCTCTGGAAGCGTTTTGCGAATTTTTTAAATTTGGCTCCACCCACCTTGGGCAGGCTCCGCCCACAACGAATGCCTCGCGCTTCTCAACTTATGACCCCTCGATGACCTTAAACTACTTTTTCCCGGTGTCTAGAGTGCTCTGGAAGCGTTTTGCGAATTTTTTAAATTTGGCTCCACCCACCTTGGGGCAGGCTCCGCCCACAGCGGGAGTGCCTCGCACATTCCTGCATGTGATCACTTGGGGCCATAATCCACATCTGTAGTGCTTTAGCACCAAATTACGGTTTTTTACAATGGTACCTCGGGTTCAAATGCACGCCCCGCCCACTGTGGGCGGGCCTTAGTACTCCGCAAACATGGTGGACTCTTGACAGATGTTCATCTTCGTCATGGAGTTTTCTGCGACCTCTAAACATTTTCGGGAACCGAGTTACCTACCTTTATGGAAAGCGCCGCCCATCTCAAGCACGCCCCGCCCATTTCGGTGTGTTTCCTCCATTTGCTCCGCCAACCCAATGCTAGCCTTATTCTACTTTTTCCCATCTCCGGGTTGCCTTTTAGCCGAGTTATAGCTTTTTTCAGTGACACGGGAAGCACCGCCCATCTCACGTACGCCCCGCCCATTTCGGGTGCGTCTCCTCTGTTTGGTCGGCCACGCCTTTGTTAACACTACTGCACTGTTTCCTCATCTCGGGACTGCCCTGGAACCGAGTTATGACTTTTTTCAGTGACACCGCTAAATTTGGACGCACGCCCCGCCCACTGTGGGCGGGGCTTACCATGGGTCATGGGTGCTATTTAGGTTTTGTCCCATGCACTATCCATCCCCACCCTGACCCGACCCCGCCAGGCTCTTCTTCAGGTGCTATGAATTTCGTGACAGACAGACAGACAGACAGACACACACACACACACACACACGGACATAGCCGATTATATTAGTAGGATGCTGTTGTTTTGGAACATTCTGACAAGGATGACAAGTGATTTTGAGGCAAGATGTACTTCCTATATTGATAGCAATACGTGCGCTGACGTAATTTACCTTGATTTCTCCAAAGCGTTTGATAAGGATGCGTCATGATAAACAGCTGCATAAACTTGCGATTGTCGGAATCCATCATCGCATCATTTCTTGGGTTAAGGCCTTTCTTACTGGCCGCTCGTTTATGGTTCGCCTTGACTCGACGTTTTCTAGGCCCAGGTTGGTCTTAAGTGGTGTTCCCCAGGGTGGGTTCTCTCCCCTGTTCTTTTCAATATTTATACATATGAGCTGCTTAGTATCATCTCGTCTTGTGGGGTGATGCGTACTGCATTGCGGATGATAATAATATCTACAGACAGATCACTTCCAAAGATGACTGCGCTCTACTTCACCTTTCCCTTCATGCTGCTTCTCGGTGGTCTAACTAGGGAAGGTCGTCAGGTCGAAGTGGCCATTTGTAATGAGATGTAGCTCACTAGACGTGGTTTTGGACGCTGATCTTGAATCTGCCTTCAAAATTTGCAAAGCGATTCTCTGAACGGAGTTATGGAGCCGCGTTTACCACGCAACAGGTCATGGGATCGGATCCCTGCTGAGCTTAACTTTTTTGCTTCCAGCGCAAACGTGGCAAAGGTGGATGTGGCGTCACTAATACATTAGCGCTTGACTTGCTGAAAAATAGTTGGCGTTCGCTTACTGGCTGTATCATGATGTAGGAGAATTTTAGGATGTACAGGTGCCCTTGGCGCGCAGTGCAGACGTTTTCGCGCTGAGCGAGTGCCATATTCGTATTTATGGGGGCGAACTACGCCTAGGTAGAGGTTTCTAGCCAAATCTGGCATTTTGACCTGACTTCGAAAAGTGAAGCATCCATGGGTTAGTTCAGTTGATGTTCACACCTATTCAGCTGCAGATACATTCTCCTGCACAAAGCCTCGTCTTGCCACTTCTTACGCATTCATGTTGTTACTGCTCCAGTTTTCCTGGTATCTAAAAGCAAATTCCGTCCAAAGACAAGCAATCGACAAGAGACTGGCCCTGGAACTATTGGTGACCATCATTCGATCAACTGCTACCGCACTTTTCAAAGTTAGGTCAAAACCTCACATCTGGCTAGAAACCTGTAAGGGTAGTTTTGCTCCCTGAACACGAATATGGCACCCATTTGGCGTTTGAGTGTTTTCTAGACTTAAAAGAGACATTCCCCACAAAATGCAAAAGAAGTTCCCTTCCAGAAATTCGAACCCCGGCATGCCCGCGAAGCAAGACCATTACCACTACACCATGCCGCCGTTGAACGTAAGGGTTCTTCCCGGCTATTCATGCGAATGGCTGGCAACCGCGCTCGACTCCGTTTTCCTTCATTTTAATTCTAACAAGCCATCATAATTCCTTTCAGAGAATCGCTCTGCAAATTTCAAAGGCAGATTCGAGATCAGCGTCCAAAACCACGTCTAGTGAGCTACATCTCATTACAAATGGCCACTTCGACCTGACGACCTTCCCTAGTAAGATTGGTGTCTTCCTTTGTCCAAGGAAAAAAAAAGATTATGCGTTTCAGGTGCGGTTCTCCCACTATAACTAACGTCAGTCAGTATTTTATTGAAGGTTCAGCACTTCAAACTGCCACTGGAACTGTTGTCAATGGCTTCTTGCTGACTCCTGATCTTAACTTTGATAGTCATTGCAAGGGCATAGCTTCCAATGCAAGCCTCATTCCGTATATTAAGGGCCCTTACCACCAAAACCCTTCCATTCTCCTTCAGGCTATAAATCCTATGTCAGACCCTTAATCGAATACGGTACCGTAATATTCAATCCACATAGACGCAAGACCATCGACTTGATTGAAAATGTCCAGAATAGCTATACAAGGAAACTCATGATCAGAGTGGACTAACTTTCATTATGACGGCATACCTTCTGCCTCTACCAGAAATGCCAACTTTGGCCTCCGGCCTCTCAGTTGGCGTAGGAAAAAGTTTGACTTACTAATGTTTCATGAAATTCTCTACGAATATACTGTTGCATCTAATAAGCTCTGTAATGCTAGGGCCGTTACACGGGGTAGTACCATTAAACCGCTGATCCACGGGGCCAGGTAGCTGTCGATCCAACTTCTTCATCAATCGAGTCTATTCGTGGTTTCTTGAGTTGAGCAAGAAGAAAAGTATTCCACCCAGTCTGTCAGCATTTAAAAAGTACCTCAGCCAATACCTAGAATCATGATGACTTCCGTTTCAACTCAATTCACTGATTTCCCCTCTAACATTTAGGCATTTGTTGTGTGTGTGTGTGTTTTTCTTTTTTTTTATATACATATTCCTGATTTCTATGGGCTTACTGTGTGCTGTTACCACATGAGATACCTCACGTAATAAGTGTATGTGTGATGTTCTGGAGATAAAACTACACCTCCGAACAAGTTTCCATAGCTCTGATGCTTGGTATATTTTGACCCTAAGTTGTGCCGAGCCGGCTCAATGTAATAATCGCAATTAGGGAAAAAGCTGCTGACAAATATAGCCAAATACAGTCCCCGGACCAACCACGAACGAAAATTCAACTGATTCTCGAAGAATGGAGCAGTTAAAACAACTATAACCAAAATGTCTCCATTGCAAGGTGATCAATACTTAAATACCCACGAGCTATTAGCACGTATGACGTAATGAAGGAATATAAATCAACGATTTTCGCTGTATAAGCTGAACATTCTGTCCCGCAGAAATGAATCCCAGCTCATTTATGTTTACGAAGGGAATTTTTTTAGGTCATCCCATTCAAACGTGCCGCCGGTTTTATTTGAATAAAACAAAGAGGAGAATAGATAAAAAGTAATATTTTAGCCTTAGGTCAAATAAATCCTCCCTTCACCAATGACCCGCTCCCAGTGCCCCGAAAGCCTTTGGACCTCTGGTACCTTCGATTTTTCAACAAGTGTGGGTAAATTGCTGTTGATGCCAATTTCGGCAAATGACAAAACATTGTAGCGTTTGCCGTCAGAGAGTACCCTCGACTAACCAGATCAGTTGGAATCGAACGGCTTTATGTTGAGCGAATGGGGCGATTGAACCCAGGTCTCAGTATTGTTTGTGTCCAATCACTGCCCCCTTCAATACAGTTACTCGGGGTCTGGCACTATGACGAGCAACGATGGGCTTGTTGTAGTTGTGTAGTATCATCCACTTGTCGATATGATTGCTGAGGAACAGGCAATATACGACAGCGACGATTTTATTCTCTGTTTAGAGCCGCCTGAAAATCACAGTGTGGGAATCCTTCGCTATGATGATCATCCTCTTGGCATCCGTCGCTAATTCCTCATTGCTTACAATTTGGGCGGCGTTCTCATATGTACTTGATTACAAATCTGATGATTGATGCAGTCCTTCCGGCTTCGAGGTCCAAGACACACCCACCCCCCACCCATACTTCATCTAAGGCCAGGGTGCGTCCTCACAGTTGTGAGTGACATCTCATGCTGAGAACATTACTGCTAGAGGTATAGAATCGGTACTGCGTTCGTGCTTCTATAAGAAAATTAGGTACCCATGCGCACACCCCCTTGACCATCCTCAGTATCGGTCATAACACGTACAGTAACTGCAGCAGGGATGTCAGTCTCGTGAGGAAACTCGACAAAGGTCTAGGCTCTGTGATCAGATACAGTGCCTGAATTCATCCACCCTTTTTCCATGTACAGGATGAACATTATGGGACCATCCAGAACAACAAATTTTTTTTCCTCTCTTCCTTCTTCGGGCTCCTGAACCAAACTTTCACCTTGTACTTCAAGAACACCATTATACACAATTAATGGTGCGGTGCCACTCGAAATGAACACTTTCTGTACTTCCAAAGGTGAGAAAAGGTTTCGAAACAATTTTAACTAAAAAATAGGAATTTGTCGTTTCTTTATGCTAGCTGAGACGTCAGAAAGTGATCAGTATCCATATGTACAGAAAGTCTCCAGGTATCACTGGAATTGTGAGTTATGGGCAAAGGACTTGACCTTAGGCGGGGCTATAGCCGTTAAGACAAAGTTAGCAGCCACGCAAATCAACTAGGATAGTGTTAACGCACTTTCTTCTCATGACAGCTGATTTGAAAAACCGGCGCCGATTTTCACCACTCGGGCTTCTTTTCAATTTCTCGAGAACTTCTTCTGGGGCTAGGTTCGCCAAATTTCACAGATACACAGCTTAAGGTACTAGCTTCCAAATGGTATAGTAGCCCGCTGCTCTATCCCCTTTGCTTTTCTGCCATTCCACTATATGTAGCGGCGGTTGAATGGATGACCTAATATGTGGGAGTAAAACATTCTGGTGAGTGCCCACTCTTTACAAAAGCGAAAAATTACAAATAATTAGTCAAACAGCAAACCCACCCACTTATCAGAACAGTATCGTCGAAAATATAGAGCTTCATGTGCTGCAGACCAACAATTTCGTTTGTCCTCTCAGGGAGAAGCCGCTTAACTAGTCCAGACAACGCCGGTGTATGAAATAAGTATATCTAAAAAAAATTCAGTTTACATCGACCAGATCGATGTTTAGATGCTGTAACTGCCATTGCTTCTTAGTTTCCAGAATTCAAGATAAAGGAAAGTACGAAACGACTGCAAGCCACGAAGATATGGATTCTCGCTCAAGCGTAGGGTGAAAGCGGCGCTGCGGGATGAGTCAAATTGTGCAAATGTGACTTCAAAGTGAAATTCGTAAGCTTTCGTTCGTTCACAGAAGTTTACATGCAGTTTACATGTACCTACGGAATCTTCTTCCCTCTCCCCGCCCCCATCACTTGGACGTTGCAAATGTAGGCATGTAGGCATTAAAAATGGTCAAAAACTAGACTCTTCCCCTGCACACTACGCTCTTTATCACCTTGGGCTATGTGGGAATAAGCGCCAGACTTCCTGTATTGCCCCATCAGATAAGAAAGACGTGATTAAAACGAAGCTGTAAAGCAATATTACACTCACCGACGCTCTATCAGCAATTGCCTTGAGAAGCGTCGTGCTACTCTCGCCTTTTCGTTCACCGCGTGTACCACGTAGGCAGTCCAGCAGAACAGCAACTTCGAGTTCCTTATTTTGATTCAAGTTTGAGTTCAAAGCATCAACCTAAATAGCAAAATGTTAAGAATATGGTAAAGAGCGGTAGTCTCGATCCAGCGCACCAGTTCTCCCCCAGTTTGCCGTCGAACAGGGGGTAGCCGTCCAACCAACTACTATCATACTTCCAACTACCGAAAATTTTAGTAGTTGTATAGCAGCACTCGTAGTGCTAAAACGCCACCAGCTAGAGCAGCTGGAGGAGGACGGAGGGGGATACCACCAATGAAACGAGGGAAACCGCGAAAAGTCAACAATCCAACATATTTTCGCGTTGCAACAAATTTCTCCCAGAGGCAAAAACGACACACCCCACATCCCCCCTCGGCTAATGCCGTTTGGACTCCAGAAATTTCGGCACCGAGCTCATTTTTAAATTGCCTAAGTCACCAAATCCGCTAAAAACTTGTATATAGGGGTAGTTTAACATCCTGATTACGAATATGACATTCACTCTTGTCGCTGGCGCTAATGGATGACACTACGATTATCTGCGCTCTGCTAAGGCTGAGCCCAGGAGGTAATCGTAGTGGCGCCAGCGACAAGAGTGAATGTCATATTCGTAATCAGGATGTTAAACTACCCTATATACAAGTTTTTAGCGGATTTGGTGACTGGCAATTAAAAATGGGCTCGGTGCCGAAATTTCTGCACTCCATACGGCATTAGCCGCCCCCTCCTCCCAATGACGAGCAAATACGTCTTGATCTTCCAACGATGTGAGTAATGCCCGTGAAACAGGAAAAACCAACAATCAAAAACAAAGTTCTAAGGCCAATTACGAAGCCCCCCCTCCCTTAGTCGACCAAATACGACTCTCCCGGTGGGGATTCCCCAACTAGGGCGCGCTCTGTATTGTTCATACCTAAACAGATGTTACATCGCTTCTGTCACCGGATGTTCTCCAAGTGCGAGGATCTGGAGGTATTTTCTCACCGCATCTTCAGCCCAAGCATTTGAAGGGAAGGGAATACAGAAGAGGGAAGAGAGAAGGATAAAAGGAAAATAATTAAGTTGCGAGAAAAAGGAACGAAAAGGAAAGCTCCGCGGTTAACAGATATCTTGAGAGGTTAAATAAAATGTATTTTAGTGCACTAGACCATTTCAGAAATGTGATGAAAGGTCCTGCAAAGGCGTGTGAAGGTGGAGAGTTCAGAAAATGACTTCCGCACTTCACAACAGAATTCCGGGGAAGGGAAATCGCCACGGAATGGAGGAAAAGCGCTAACAAGAATCCAAAGCAAAGGAGAGAAGTCCGAGCGCAACGTGTTGGCCGTACCGAAATCATTAGGTGAAAGGCTATATAGTTTTCGATAGGACGGATAGAAATAATGTCTGTCCTTTCGCTTCCTTCTTCGGGAGCTCCTGGGTGAACGGGAATAAGTGGATACCGTGACTAGCGCACCTTTCGGTATATAACCCTTCCCCCCCCCCCTTCGCCTTCGGCGTTTTGCAGTTTTGCAAAACAAACATGCGCCTTTCTTTCATCACTTTTTGCTCGATATGTATGAAGTTTTGGTTTTTAGTTTAGCTTTAGCGTCACCAAGCGTTCTAATGAATAAATGGGGCTGTAACAGCAAGATAGAGGAGACAGCTATGTAATTGTGAAGAACAGATTGAGGGGCAATATAAGTAAAGCGTACTAAGCAATTAGAGATATCTCGATTACAAAGCAACTCACCAAAGCATGTTCCAATGCCCCGTCTCCAAGGTAGAGCGAACTTAGCGTTACTCTCTTTTTCGCCGAATGCGATCGCTCCTGAAATCAAATCCCCGATCATTCCTTAGAAAACGCAGGTCAAGACAGTAGCGGCTTTCAAACAGGATAATTATTTTCAAAATAAGAAACATATGCGAAGCAAGACTTGCTCTTCAAGCTAATAAGCTAATGTGACATTAAGCAGAATTCCATACCCAAGAACGTCCGAGGCAGCTAATAATAAATGAAGGAAAGCGTGAAGAAAGTTAGAAGAACTTCCTGCCAAAGCTTCTGGAGCCAACTGCAGCTGAAAAGAATCACGCGGCAAGAGTAGCCGCATTCACTTTTGCCGTCTGCACTCTTGCTAAGACTGAGCATGGATCGCGCGGCTAGACTGGCGTCGTGTGCCTTCCCTCCCACCCCAACAGCAGCAGGCGCAGCACCTTTTCTTCAAACTGAAGTTTTTGTAGCTTGACAATAAACAAAGGATTCGAAGGGAGAACAGCTTGTGATTCGAGGGAGATTTCAGGTCCTTGCTGTTTTGGTTAACATTTAGCTTACAGCTTTAAAAGAGTTAAGAAATGTTTAAAAATGAAATCACTCTACGTTATCGTACAATAATTTGTTTATCTCCGCAGGTCACGTGTACAATCACGTGTATAGAATACTACAGTATCCTATACTGCATAAATCTCGCTACCACGAGATTTCCTAAGGCTACGTTTATACTTTCCGTCAAGCGTACGCCAGAGTACGGCAGCGACTAGGAAAGTATGGATATCGATCTACCGAACGTCCGAAATTTGAGCCTAAGCAAAACGCCTGCGAAAACGCTGCTGTATGCTGGCATACTCTAGAAAGATATCTATATTTTCCTGGTCGTGACGCTAGCGCACGCTCGGAACGCTGCCGTACGCTGACGCAAAGTATGAACACAGCCTTATAAACCTGGCTCTAGTGCAATAAGGCGCGGCGTTGTGAGGCCAGGCAGTACACTTGAAACACTTGAAATCCTGCAGACATCATTCACTTGTTATAAACGGTCAGGAAAAGTTTTGGCAAATCCAGGAGTGACTCGCCCACCCCGTAGCACTCTCCCTCACTAAGGCCGCGTTCATAGCTTGCGTTCGTGAAGAAATGCAGAAATGCGGAAAATGCAGAAGTGCGGAAAGTGCAGAAGTGCGGAATCTGCAGAAAAGCAATAGATACTTATCGACTTGAAGAAATGCCGAAATGCAGAAGTGCGGAAAGTGCAGAAATGACGAAAAGCATTACATACGTATCGATTTGAAGAAATGCAGAATGCGGAATCTGCAGAAAAGCAATAGATACTCATCGACTTGAAGAAATGC